GCCAACTACTATGCCTTCTGCTTTGCTCCAACATAAAGCAGCCTTAAGTTAGCAAACTGGAAAGCAAAATCTGAACACTTCCTCAAGTCCTCCTTTTTTAAGCCACTGCCACCTCATATACAAACACCTGATTATCCCCAAATCAACAAAGAACACACAGTGACTGCTCCTTTTGATCCCTGCAGCAAGCCCTCCTCAGCAGCCTGGTAGTGACCAGGCTGCTCCACGTGGTCTCCTAGTGCTCAGGGTCCCTGCCTTGTTGCTAAAGGTTTTATCGTTATTGTCACTTCCAGGAAAGCTGCCAGGATAAATGTTGTACTAAAGCCACTACAAATTCTGCACGCACATTGAAGAGCACTTGGGTTCCTATTTGTTTTGCATTATAAGCCACTTTGGTTGAACAATGTTTCACTATAACCTCACTTTATCCATATCTCTTTAGTACATGTGTGAAATCATCAAATGGCCACAGTGTTGTGTAAATATTTCAAACCTAAAATCAATTTTGAGAAGTTGGGTAGTGTTAAATGAACTCAGATGTGCTGAGCGAACCATATGTGCCCCAAGTTTCCTACAGAAAACTTTTCTTCCCAATTTTCCTAGTGTTGGGCCAGTTGACTAAATTGATTTAAATGACCTGAAAATATTTAAACATTAAAATAAATAGGGACCAGCAGTTAGCATAATGGCTAAGTCACTGGACTCCCATGTAGGCGACCACAGTTCAAGTCCTGGACCCAGTGGCTTAAACTCACGCCGGGTACGTGTGCATGCGTGCCCAAGATCCCGAGAGGAGAATGGAGGAGAAGGGATTGCAGCGTGGCCATCCCACCACCCCCCCCGCCCCGGCGGGGGGTGATTTCTCACTTTCTGTCTCTCTGCGTCTCTCTGTCTTTCTGGCGAGCGCAAGCGCCCTATAGTGAAAAAAAACTCTACAAAATAAATAAATAAATAAATATTTATCTTGCTGTTGAAGGAAGCTAGGATGAGTGTACACTGGACATCAGAAAACAGTATAGTGTTGAACAAGTCACTCCCCCCCGCCCCGGCGGGGGGTGATTTCTCACTTTCTGTCTCTCTGCGTCTCTCTGTCTTTCTGGCGAGCGCAAGCGCCCTATAGTGAAAAAAAACTCTACAAAATAAATAAATAAATAAATATTTATCTTGCTGTTGAAGGAAGCTAGGATGAGTGTACACTGGACATCAGAAAACAGTATAGTGTTGAACAAGTCACTCTAAAAATTATTAATTTTTTTTTTTTTTTTTGGAGAGGTTTTTGCTATAGGGCACGTGTGCTTGCCAGAAAGACATAGAGAAACAGAGAGACAGAAAGCAATAAATCGCCCCCAGGAGATATGACCACGCCACAATCCCTTCTCCTCTACTCTCCTCTCAGGATCTTGGGCATACACACTCAAGCACCCAGTGTGAGTTTAAGCCACTGGATCTGGGACTCAAACCACATTCGACTACATGGGAGTCCAGCGACATAGTCATTACACCAACTGCTGGTCCCGAAAATCATTAATCTTATCATTCATCTACAAGACAGTTGACCATATCTTCCTCATCTTAAAGACAAACCCAAGAGGGAACCAGCAGTTAGCGTAATGGCTATATTGCTGGACTCCCATGTAGTCGACTGCGGTTCATGTCCCGGACCCAGTGGCTTAAAACTCACACCAGGTGCGTGTGCGTGCGTGTGTGCCCAAGATGCCGAGAGGAGAATGGAGGAGAAGGGATTGCGGCGTGACCATCCCCCCTGGGGGGTGATTTCTCGCTTTCTGTCTCTATGTCTCTCTCTGTCTGGCGAGTGCACGTGCCCTATAGCGAAAACCTCTCCAAAAGAAAAAAAAAGACAAACCCAAGAGAAAAGTACTAGGTGGACATCCAAGAATACATGGCAAATCGGTGGAATGACAGGAACTACAATTTGTACCATTCTTTTTTTTTTTTTTTTTTTCTTTTTTTTT